AGTCCTCCAAGTCCACACGCAGCATGCTGTTATTATCTGAAGTCAGCCGGTGAATCTTGTCCAGTCCCAACCAAAATTCACTTTTCAGGTCACCGAAGCCATGTTTGTAGTCGTTCCAGTCGCGGTAGAAATCAACCGAGCCGTTCAGTCTTTTCTGGAACACTGTCCACCCTCCACCGGCTGTTGTTTGGTCACAGAATACATCAAAGGCAGGCAAATTATCAGGTTTAATGGTGTACACACCGTTAGTTGGTTTACCCGTGGATTTGAAGATTTCTGCGCAGTTTTTTTTTTGACTGAAAACCAGTAAAAACAAACAAACATAAAAACAAACAGAACTCCCACTTTAGATTTTTTGGATGTTTAGTTCCTTTTTTTTGCTTTCCTGACTGTTGCTCTGGCTGATAAAACTTGATTCTGAACATTTATTAGTATAATTTATCTTTCCTTAATATCTACCAGCTATATTCATTTAAAGTTACAGTAATAGGCTTTTCCTTTTTAGCTTTACTTCAGTGGTTAATATTTTGTTCTTGAAGTCAACTTTGGTACTGGAGTGAGTAACTCCTCGCGTACTACGAGGGACTGCCCCACGTAATTTCACCTTCAACTTGGCAGGTTTGTCCACTGAATCTCTCCCGACAGACACAACGAAAACCTTTATAAGTGAATCCAGCTTGACAGGTGCCACTGTTTAAGCATGGGCTGATGCTGCATGGATTCTGTTGACAAACCAAAGTAAACTTTTGTGCAGATCTTCTTTATGTCAAGAATAAGATCACTTTAGCCTCAGAAAATGTAACAATCTCTTCTACCTTCTTACTTTCGTAAGAATGTGAAATGTTTCCTCGATTGCAAGATATGTGTAACCCGGATTGTTCACGAGAAGGAATGTAGCATGCTTTTCCTCCGTGGCGTTATTCAACTCGCATTTTTGGTTTCCTCCTGCAACAGGTCCGACATTGATGGACACACAATTAGGCTCCATCAAACACATTATTCTGCAGCTCCCTTCGTTTGGTACCTCTGCACTTTTGATCGCGCGATTTTTCATGGCCATGTTCGGTATTGGGTCCTTGAATTTGATGAGTCGCCTATTCTCGTCTGTGGTAGGAAAAACAAATAAATCGTTTAGTTTGTT